ATTGCACATCTTCCTCAGTACCCATTTTCCCAACTCCAAGTATCATCCCACTTCCAACATCCAACTTTGTCCAAGGTCACCCCACCTTTGTTCTCCCCTCTGCACATTTCTCAAGGTCAAGATTACATTTTTGGAGTGTCTATCAATATTCTTCCATAACTGACTAAAAAAGAATCCCCCAAACCAGAGAAATCTTACTTTTCAATGGCATGGTGATGTTAATAGCCAATCTTGGTTTTCATAGATGGGCAAAAACACACAGCCATCAAGTATTCACAGCCCTTAAAACCTATCAAAAGAGGAGTTTACTTTGGAGTCCATCCATTTTCCAAAGAGGTCATCCACATTCTTCCCCCTCTCACATAAGCACTGCCCACCACTATATTTTCACTATCAAGTGTTTGGAAACATATACAACAGGAAAAAGTCGGAGTCAAGTAATCAATTCACTGAGTGTTTGGGTCCTAACTGCGGGATATAAAAAAATTAGTGAGATAATCTTCCCAAAAATGGAAGCATCACCCTTAAACATAAAAACAAAGAAAGAAACATATGCTGAAACAAACACAATAAATGTTTGCAGCATTGACTAAGCATGGGTTACAACATTAAGTTCTAAGAAGAGGTAACGAAAGCAGTTCCTTCTATGTAGTGTCTTTTGTCGCCACTTTCCAAACTCATCCTTACAGTGACTGGTATCATCTTGTCCAAGATTTGTCTAATTCCCTAGAGGACTGAGTCCCTTTCCTCCCTTAACATGAAATCATCCATTCATTCTCTCGGCAATTAAAAAACTATTTATTCACGTGTGGTCTAGGCCAGGCATTGTGTTAGGTGCAAAAGTTACACAGAAGATGAATAGGACCAACCCTACCCTCAAGGAGCCCAGGGAGAGAATCTGTAAGGTATTTAATTGCTGAAGGGGAATGACTTGTGTAGAAAGAATCAATGGAGGAATGAACAACTTGAAGCCTTTGCCCTCAAAGAGATCAATCACATCCCCGAATAAGAAATGGGGATGATACAACCTAGGAGACTGTCAAAAAGCAAAACGGCAAAATCCAGAAAGCATTCTTGCTTGCAATGAGATTACTCTAAGCCTTGAAGAATTTTGGCTCCCCCAAAAAGGATGGGGTGGGGGCCACTGCAGAGACCAGAACAGCCAAGGTTTGGACTCAAGATAAATGAGAACTGACCTTGGGAGATCCCTCAGGACATGTATGCTAAATGTGGTCCCACCCCCTCCCCCTCTTCAAATCAACCTTCACCTACTGCACAAACCTCCACAAAATCAGGAAGATTGAAATTCAAAGTTACTTTCCCAGTCACAGAAATAAAGGCCAAATACCCAGAGTCAACAATGAAGCAACTCCAGTGGGCAAAGTGGAATGTTGGTCAGAGTGTGAAACCCAAAAATCAAACAACTCAATAGCAGTGGCTCTGGAAAACAAGGCTCTCATGGATCACATAAGACTCTTTATACATATAAACAATCCCACATTTCCAGAACTGCCTAGAAGAGCACAGGAATATTATTCAAATGTGCAGTCAGTTTGAATATTAGGGGCAGAGGGTGTATTTGTGTTAACTCAGAAAAAGAAGCCGTCAAATCTCTTAGCAGTTAATTTTGAGAGAGTGAGTTCAAGCAAAACTACCTCCCATCTGAACCAAAGGCTGTGATATGCCAACCACACCAAATTGATGAGGCTCTTTCAGAAGGAGTCTTTCATTTGAATGTCCTTCCAATAGACAAATCCTAGTTTGGAACTTCTGATTCTTAAACTTAACATGGCAAGCAAGAGCAGTCTATGGCCAAATGCTAAAAACGAAGAGGTAAATCTTCCATTTGGTTCTTCTAAGAGCTGGAATTGGCCACAGAAAGAAACACAAAGTTTTCACTCCAAAAGATCAAAGAAGGCATTCTGTACCAGGAAACCCAATTCCAAATCCTCATTTCCAGGAATAAAGCCACAGTGCCCAGTGCTTGCTTGGGAAAATAACACAGGAGATTCTGTGGATTCCAATTAAAATTTCTGATGGCTTTATTTCCCAGCCTCACCAGTTTAATGTTGTTAACATTTCAGCCAAGCCCTCCTTTAAACTTAAATACAGCTTCCAGCTCTGAATGGTCACACCTTACTACTGGGTAAAAAGGAAAGAGTCTTAACACTTCACAACAGCATTCTTTGCCCCATCCCAAGTGCTAGGTATCTAAGACAAGGTGATGCTGAAAAGTGCCAGCTTCAGCCCAGCCTGGGTCTCCTATAACTGCAGCCAGGTGAAACCTCACTGCTGCCCAGGCCACTTAGTTGCATTATTGAAAATGAGAGAAGTGAGGGGGACATACCTCAACCTTATTCAAATATAACAAACAATAAGCTTGCTTTACAATGATTTCCTGGGGTCTTGTCGATCAGCCAATAGTTCTTGTGTGCCTACTGCATACAAGGCACCAAACTAAGTCTACAGTCAACACAGTGCAATAAAATAGTCCCTAAGTAATCATTATGTTAATGGTTATGTGTTTAATTTTCTTTACCATTTCACACAAAAAAAGTATGTATCGTGTATGTAGGTAATAAAGTCTAAAAATAAAATCAGCACCTATGAACCCATCACCCAATCCAAAAACCAGAACATCACCAATACTGCACCATCAACCTACCTCCTCCATTTTTATTACAGGTCTCTGCAACATACACACACTCCACATAATCATTATTCTGAACTCAGGGTTTCGATGCAAGTATAAATGCATATTTAAGACTACCTCCTATTCCTAACAAGTTGAGTTGGCTTTCCAAATATGGAAGTAATACATAGTTTCCTCTTTAAAAATGATGTCTTGCTGGGCGCGGTGGCTCAAGCCTGTAATCCCAGCACTTTGGGAGGCCGAGGCGGGTGGATCACAAGGTCAAGAGATCGAGACCATCCTGGTCAACATGGTGAAACCCCGTCTCTACTAAAAATACTAAAAATCAGCTGGGCATGGTGGCGTGTGCCTGTAATCCCAGCTACTCAGGAGGCTGAGGCAGGAGAATTGCCTGAACCCAGGAGGCGGAGGTTGCGGTGAGCCGAGATCGCGCCATTGCACTCCAGCCTGGGCAACAAGAGCGAAACTCCGTGTCAAAAAAAAAAAAAAAAAAAAAAAAAAAAAAAAAAAAACAAAACAACAAACAAACAAACAAACAAACAAACAAAAATGATGTCTTTAGGTTCTTTTATTTAAGTGGATCTTGCTTTAAAGAAAAACATTAATAAAGGGGGACTCAGCCATGGTAAACTCAGGAAGACAGTATGTGAGTGAATGAAGTTTGACAATCACTGGCAAAAGTCACCAAGAACATGAGTTCTGAAGTTCTACAGATCCCTGATTCAAATCCCCACTTCACCATTGAAATTTGCCAAGCCTCAATTTCTTACTGTAGAAGGGTAAAATAATAAGAAGACATCCGGTGTTTGTGGAAATGTCACGAAAAAGTACATGTAAAGAAAGAGCTGAGCACAGTGCCTGGCACATATCCAGCACCCCTAAACTATCCTGTCATTAAAGTAACCCAAACATAGCAAAGAGTTTTGCCACCATCAGTGGTTTGCTTCTCCAGAGTTCCTACTGAGTTGGGCATGAGATCTCTTCACACAAAAATAAATCAAGATGCAGGGATCCAAGAGCAGAACAAGCCACAGACGACAGCTCCCAGTCCCAGCATTGATTCCTTCTACACCTCATGACCTTGAAGAGCAGGATCATTTTTCAAATCCATTTCTGTCCTGTTCCCCCCTCCCCGAGAAGACTGGACTACTCAATCCAAGCCTGAAAATTACCTAGAAGCCGATCATGACCATTACAGGACTAGTTCAGTCCAAACTAGGGCAAGATAGAGGCATAACCTCTATCTCCTGACTCAATCTCTGTTAAACCTTCCTTAGACACATGAAGAAAATCTAGTAAACCACTGCTTTGAAAAAAATTCATTACAATGCTATTAATCAAATTAAGTTCCTCACTTCTGAAATTAATACATTACATTCCTGAATACGGCAACTTTACTCTATCCTTAATATTCCTTAAAATTACTTAGAGATAACAAGAAACTTACTTGGATTCAAATGATCACTCTCTTCTAAGGTACAAAAGTTGTAAGACTACTGCCTAAATCAAGTTTTATTTAAAACCATCCTCTCCATTTCAAGTAAAACTCAACAACACAGCTGAAAAGGGAGGGTGTGAACCCAATCCACAACCATATCAATCCTTGGTCTTTGTCACCTATCTAGAATTTATCTCTGTATCACTCACCACCTGTGAGTACCTGCATGAAGGGTAATAGTAGAAATACTATTATCCAACAGGCAGGTACATCAACTGAAAGCCTACATTTCAGCTTCAAAAGAATTCCATTTTGTAAAATTCCAAGACAGAAAACAAAAACAAGCAAATCATAAAACAAGTGATCCAAGTCCCATCCAGGCATAAAATAACCTCCTGACCCCACCGTCCCCAACAGTGGAGTGGATGAGAACCATTATTTCAAACTTAAGCGGTCTGCACACTATAAAGCTGCATGGCGAGGCCGAAGTCTGAGGTCAGCACAAGTCTAGTGTCTGATGGCTGCCCAAGCCTGGGCCCCTGGCCAGCAACCCACCTCCAGAGACAAGTGCCAGGACATACTATAGTGTTTCCATTTAAGGCCCGCCACTTGGATCAGCCCATCTCTGAAATTTCTTAACACCACCTTTCCAGGAAGAATTTTTTTGGGGAAAAGGGAGGTGGTGTCTATTTTTTGCCACCGCCTTCCCTTGGGCTGTCAGAGCAATCTGCATCTCCGGGACAGGATTCTTTAAAACCACTGGGTTAAGTCTCAATTCATGGGCCGCTTTTCAAAAATATGTACAAACATGTATGGAACCGGCCCTTTTGCCCACCATCTAACTCTTATCATACACCCCTCAAAAAAGAAAGAAAAGCCCAACAAAATTGACAAGTCCATTGTATTTACCTTGCTGCCTCTCTCCAGAAGCCAAATTCATGACAACTTTTTAACCAAGACTTTTCTTCTGCTACTAAGTGGAACGTAAGTAGCTTCTCTCCCATGCAAGCAGCGTTCAAATCTCCAGGGGAAAGGAGGGGTGGGGAGGGGATGGAAGACTATCTGGCACAAACTGGACAGAGCTGAGCCGGTTTAGAACCCGACGGAAGTTACTGAATCCAGCGGCCCCAGAGGCCCACATCTCTTCTTAGAGCGCCCGAGGTTCTAGCCTCACTGTTTTGGTTACAGTGTTGAAGGAAGGGTTTTAAACTTGGCAAAGTACCGTGCAACATCTGTAACCACATTTGCCTTCTGGGGATCGGAAGATGAATCCCACATTCCTGGCTTTGAAGCTTTTTGAAACTGCAGCTAGGAAGAAGCGAGGGAGGGAGGGAGTTGAGCAGAGTTTATTGGCTGTCTCTCCAGCAGAAAATTCCTCTTGGAAGAGACGGATATTTTGAGGGTGGGGGAGATTCGCCTATCTATCTCCTTACTCTCTATCAAGCTCAGCTAGGAAGGTGAGCCCCGTGGCCCCGCGGCCAGATCGATTTACAAGTCAGAGTCGCACACCCTGAAGGAGTTCACAACACACACACACACACCACACGCGCACACACACACGCACACACCCCAGCGCAAACCTGAGACCCCCGCTCCACGCCTCTGCTCCCAATCCCTTACCCCACCAGCAGTTCAGGCCCAAAGCAAGACAGTTTTGTTCCGCGGCTGCTTCCCCCACGGAGAGGGGATCAAGCTTGGGGGAGAAAGGAATGAAAGCGAGGGGGAGGCACCGCAGACGCCCACCCAGCCACCCCCGATCCCTGCCTCTTCTCCGGCTAGGCTACCTCCTCCCTCGGTCCGCCCGGCTCCAGCAGGCGCGGCCGGCGACCTGCGCTCACCTCGGGTCCCGCCGCGGCCGGGGGCTGAGCCGGGGGAGGCGGAGTGCGAGGCAGCCGGGCGCTGCAGGTCGCCGCGGCGCGGCGCGGCGCGGGGCGGGGCGGGGCGGTGCAGCCGGCGAGGGAGCCCGGAACTCTGCGGGGCCGGGGGCTGGGGGAAGAGGGCCGGCCCCGAGCGGCGGCGGCTGCGGCGGCTGCGGCGGAGCGGTGCGTGGGGCCGGGGGCTTCCCAGCGCTGGGGCCGGCGCGGCTGGCCGAGGAGCAGGCTGGCAGCGGCAGCGGCGGCAGCGGCAGCCACCCGGGGAAAGAGCCGGGGGAGGGCGGGGAGGCGGGGTGAAGAGGAGGAGGAAGGGGAGGAGGGCGGGCGGAATAAACTTCCCAAGGCGCAGAGGCTCGGGCTGGGAGCACCGCTGCGGGCGGGGCGGGCAGGCGGGCGGGGGCTTGCCCCCGGGAGCGGTGGGGGAGACGGTCACAGAGAGTAGAAAAGTTCCCCCAGCGCCGAGGGGGAGGCTGCGGCGGCGGCGGCGGCGGCTGCAAAGAGCAGGAGCCGGAGCGGGAGGAGCGGGAGGAGGAGGAGGAGGAAGTGGCTGCGGAGCGCTCGGCCAATGAGTGTCTGGAGCTGTGATTAACCAGGCAGCAACACATCATTTCCTCCCGGCGCGGATCCAGGGAGCCGGGAGGGAGAGGGGAGGCGGCGGGGCGGGGCCGTCCCCGCGCCCCCTGCAGGCGCCCGGCCGAGGGCGAGCCCGCCGAGCCCCGCCGAGCCTGACCGCGCCGCCCCCGGCGCGCCTGGCGCTGTCTGGCCGGTCGCTCTGGCCGCCGGGGGGAAGCTGCGAGCGCGCCGCCCGCGGGGTTGCTCGCAAGCGGCGAGGCAGGCCGGAGCCGGGCTCCCGTGGCCAGGGTGGGAGGAGAAGAGGCCGCGCGGCGGCACGAGTGAGTGCCCAGGTAGGCGCGGGCGGGGCCGTCTGGACAGCTCCCGGGGGCGCGCGGGGCCGGCGGGCGAGCGGGCGGGCTGCCTCCGGGGACCAGGGACTGCGGGCGGCCACTTACTCGAGCCCTGCTGGTCAGACTTGAGCTGGATTCTCAGAGAGAAGCCTCGGCATTCTCATCCAGGCCATCTCTGACCTGCCTTCAAATCCTCTTCCACCTTCCACTTTGCTCATTTCCTTTCGAGGTCTAGGGTTATGCAAGAGCTTGCCATTTTCGCAGTTGGCTTCCTTAGTACTAGAAATAAGCATGGAGGAGCTTCTGCGGTGATTTAGCCCTGTCCTAGGCGCCATGGGAGCTTACAGTAGAAAGGCAGCAACATTCGCCGCAGAGAGGCTGACAACCTCGGTCCGTAGATACACAAAAACACCCCAGCGTGCTAATACTACCCAGAGCATCAAAAAGGCATGCAAGGATCAAATTTTGCGTGGTTCCTGCTGAGTGTAAAGGAAAGCACCAAGCCATTTTCTCTGCCCTCTAGAAGCTTACGATGTACAGGCCTATCACAGAGCAAAATAAAAACATGAAACCTATAAATGGGAATGCCATAAAGTATTTTTATCTCTACAGGTTCATTCATACAGAGGGCATTTATTGGGTGACTGCAGTACTGCAAAAGGTTGCAAAGGAAATGGAAGATCTGGTCCCTGCAGGTTGAGAGTTTACAATCTAATTAGAAACACAAGGCGAATGTACGTGAAACAACTAGAATCCCCAACTGTAAGGAAAAGGATGAAGTAGGTGGGGGCATTTTTTTCATAAGGAGAAGAGCTATGTCCCTATATGATCGGTGAGAATTAGGAGAGGCAAGTTCAATACAAATCAAGGCAATAGCACCTATGTGTATCCCTGCTCTATAGAATGCTCTAACAGGGCCCTCACTGTCACTTGGTCAGCTCTGCCACTTACAAACTGTTTTGACCTTGGGCACATTTTTAACCTAAAAAGGGAATAAAGGTTGTCTCCTGAGGCGGTTGTGCAGTTCAAATGAGATTACAAACGTGAAAGCTTGTCAAGCTCAATCATGTACATTCATGGAGTCCTCATTGTACAAACTGGCCCCTTCTTGGTAACCTTTAGAGTTCCCTCCTAGGCTGTAAGCTCCAAGAGGGCAGGGACCAGGTCTGGTTGTATTCACCATGTATCACTATGCCTAGCAGAAGGGTTCATGGGAGCGTTCAATAAAGTTTTGCTGAATAGGTAAATAAATGAATTAATGAATCCTGTTATGCTTTGAACAGTTCCTATTACTTGTTCCTTAAGCAGTTCCTTCAATAGTGGTCTTATTGTATGGCTGGCTCAGTGAAAGCCCTCTAACTCAATCCTCCTGTGACTCACTTGTGTGCCAGGAGACTGGGAGAATTCTGGGTGGTACTGTCAGAGGCATTCAAACCAGAGCGACTCCATTTTGAATGAGGGCTAGGAAAATGAGGCTGAGACTTGCTGGACTGCGTTCTCAGAACGTTAAGCATTCCTAGCCTCTGGATGTTTACAGTATGGGAACAAATTAATCGTGTTTACCCAACAAACCCAGACATGGAAGTGTCCATATATCCCCATAACTGGAAACCGAAGGTGTTTGTAATTTTGCTTTAAAGATAATAATATGGATTCTTGCAAAATATTTAAATTAGTTAAGCAAATTAATTCTTTATCACAAACTCTGGTAGCAGAGCACAACTCCCCATATAAACAAGTGTTGCACCTAAGGTGGATTTGTTCCTTGTCTTACTTTTGGGAATGTCCTACTCTGTCGATGGAGTAGCTGTCCTTTGTCCTTTCATCACCTTACTTTCTTAATAAACTTGCTTTTCCTTTGCACTGCGGACTCGCCCTCAATTCTTTCTTGCGTGAGATCCAAGAACCCTCTCTTGGGGTCTGGATCGGGGCCCCTGCCCTATAACATATTTCTGGTGACCACAGAAGGGACTATAGTGCAGAAACACTGACTCGGCGGCTACCTTTCGGTAAGTGTTGGGGTCCTGTAACATATTTCTCATGACCCAGATGGGACTATAGTGCAGAAACCCTGACCCAACAGCTACCTTTGGGTTGGTTGGGACTGTACTGTTGGCAACTGTAACAGCACTTGTTACCTTTTAACATAAAGAGAGTGTGTGTGTGTGTGTGTGTGTGTGTGTGTGTGTGTGTGTGTAAAGCAAGAGGCTCCTCCACTAGGCTGTATCCTGTGGAGGAGCCTCCACACAAGCCCTGTGCACACAGGATTCAGTACTTTGGCTTGGACACCTTAATACGGGTGTCCAAGATTGGCACTATTGACATTTGCACTGGGTAATTGTTGTGAGTGCTGTCCTGTGCATTATAAGATGTTTGGCAGCGTCCTTGACCTCTCCTCACTAACTGCCAGGACACCCTCCCCCCACAGATGTGACAACCAAAAATGTCTCCAGACAGTGCCAAATATCTCCTGGGAGGGGGTACAAAACTACCTCCTGTTGAGAACCACAACCTTACTCTAAGATCTAATCCATTGATTGAACTCTGGTGGAAAATCACACCAGTAAAGTTACTTGGAAGGTATCTTCTGTTATTCTAAGATTTTCAGATCTCTTCAATCGTATGTTTCAAGGAGCACGACTCTTGCTAATTAATTGCCTGCTGCATTGTGAATTGGCATCTCTTCTGTTTTCTACATATCCTCCTTCTTTACGCCCAGATCAACATGTTCATTTCTAAAAGTCAACAGCTTTCAAAAACTCTTAGGAAACAGGGTCTTGAGCAACCTAAGAGTCCTGTATGATATTTTTCTATAAAATTGGAATTTGTTTTATAAAATTTTGCAGACAGCTTCTCTGTTACAGTCTGTTAAGCTTTTAGACTTACAAACAATAATCAGATCCTCTCTGGACTCAGATTGTGATACAATAAGTATATAAGTCATAATTTTAAAAAATTAACATAGTTAACCACATTGAGTACTTTTCTTTCATCTTAGAACCATTTCTTTTTGGTTTCAGAGAGAGGTTTTATTTCATAATGGGAAAAAAGAACATGTTTTCTTCACCGGGTACAGTGGCTCATGCCTGTAATCCCAGCATTTTGGGAGGCCAAGGCGGGTGGATAACTTGAGGACAGGAGTTCAAGACCAGCCTGGCCAATGTGGGGAAGCCCTGTCCCTACTAAAAATACAAAAATTATCCAGGCATGGTGGCATGTGCCAGTGATCCCAGCTACTCAGGAGGCTGGGGCAGGAGAATGGCTTGAACCCAGGAGGCAGAGGTTGCAGTGAACCAACATCATGCCACTGCACTCCAACCTAGGCGACAGAGCAAGACTCTGTCTCAAAAAAAAAAAAAAAAAAACAAGTTTTCTTAAAATCTATAAAGCAAAATTCAGCTCAGTTATCAACTTCTAGAAGCAAATTCTTCAGAATATTGGTGGGATATTTGAGAGTTGGTGGTGATTCATGAAAATCCTGTTGGATTAATGTGCTGTTCTACTAATAAAGCTTTCTTAAAAAAAAATAAAGATTAACAGTGGAAGGAAGGAACAAACAAATTCAGATAAGTCCATTCACTAAGTAATAGGCATGTAGAACCAAAAAAAAAAAACCATATTTGTGATATGAACAGACATTTTTGTCAGCAAACAGTATCGTCCATCTCATTAAATAAGGTTATTTGAAGTGTTGGTTTTATCGTTTTGTTTATATTTAGCTTTAGTTTCATAGTTGCATAATGGTTACAGTATATGCAGATGAGTTTATATCTAGGTTAGTGATTGTTCACATTTAAATTAAGCATTGAAGACTGGGTAGACGTCCACACAGCCTAGAAAAATGGCAAAGGTTGAGGGTTGAATGTGGTATATGGTAAGATAATTCTCCAATGTCTGTTTTGTTAGAATAAGAATAATGACATACACTCCTTGGGGAGGGCGGTCTCCAAGTTCTCGATGAATTCTTGAAATTTGTGCTTTTG